CTTATGTTTTTTCTTAAATTTATATCTTTAGGTATAAATCTTCCTTTTAAGGTCTTGTTTAGTAACGATAAGTTAGATGAGATCGTCGTAATAATTACAGATAGATTTATTACAGATGCGCAAGAGCATTATTTATTGTATTAAGAAGTCTAAAATGCCGTGATGATGGAAATTAATAATGGAAGTAAATAAATGAGCAAAAGAGACAACAATCGAGGATTATAAACTCAATTTCAACCCGATATTATAATAAAGAGAGAGAGAGAGAGAGAGAGAGAGAGAGAGACATTTAACTAATATATTGTTTTCATTATATACATAAATTTTGAATTATGTATGGGATGGCTTAACGAACTTCTATAACTCTTATGCAAAGTAAGCGATAAATACGAAATATTCATAAATTTATATGAAAATCGTGGTAATTAAATAGCAATTTTCAAGAACAACTGACATTTATAAAATATTTACATTAATAGAAGTAATTTAATTAGCGCGTCGTAGTAAAATTTCTCTCTCTCTCTCTCTCTCTCTCTCTCTCTCTCTCTCTCTCTCTCTCTCTCTCTCTATACAAAAGCATAATGATTTATCTTTGTTTTTTCTTTTATTATAATGTAAAAAGATTCGAATTATTAAAACGTGTACTTTCGAAATCACATCAAAATAATCAATTATGAATTTACATTGAGAATTCTTATTAAATTTCCAAGATATAAAATCGTCTTTCTTATTTCATGAATATTGTAATCTTAATGCACGCTTGTCAGAAATTATAAAAATTAATTTTTTTGTTCATTTGTATTTCTTACATATTTGTTTTAATCATTGTACTTTATAATCAAGTTTTTCAAGTTCAAGTATACAATGTTATTATATTGAAGGAAAATACGTACGTAAGTATGTACGATTTTAAAATGATTGTTAATTGAAAATTTAATACATACATGCATATTTAGAATGTTGTGAAATATTATTATTTTAAAAGTAGTTTAGACTTATACTTTTAATATAATAAATCATATTTTTCCTCTTGCTATTGTTTCGCTAAATTACATTTACACTATTAATACATCTATTTATAATATTCATCTTAATGTTGCTGTATAATTAATATTTTTTCAAGCTACCCCAATGTATTTTACAATTTAAAAATAACAAATGATTTATTCTTTAACATTGACTTTAGAGGAGAAAATATGGATTTTTCATGTTGTCTCGAAGACAGAAGTGTAAGTTTCTTTCGACTTTTGTGCGCAGCATTCAACATTATCGAAAAAATATTCATTACTCTGCCGTCAAATATCATGTTGCTTCAATAAATTAATAAGGTGAATTAATTAATTTAGATAGAAAATTTTCATGATTATTTTTTCGAATTCATATCTACAAGTACATAGACCACAGTAGCAAATGTTTTTATTCCACATCGCATGAATTGTCTTAATTAGCAAACAATTTCTATTCTACATTGTCCTGTACACTATCGTTTATATACATTACAAATGCTTATAATTATTATAAAATATATCCTAAATTGGCTATAATTGTATCGATAGTTGCACATAGCAGCGCTTTTTATATTCTATTTTTAAATATATCACGTACATAAATATTATAGTTATTTAATGTTTAGCGCGGATGTTAATATTCTTGAAGATAATATTCGTGTTATTTAGATTTTGAAAATGTAAGTAGAGTTATTTATTACCTTAATTATTATTAAATAATAAAATGTAAATAATTTTACGATTAATTTTTTAACGACTATTATTTTCGTAACTGTTTACAATACACATAAAAATCATTAGTTTTCGTTTTTTTTTTCTTTCTTTTTTTTTTTTTTTTTTTTTTTTTTATTATTTTTTTTTTATCATTATTTATTTTATTTTTTTTTTATTATTCCTTCAAGAGTATTGAAATAACTTTTACAGTTACTCTTATCCACCATTATATTTATTATCATTTTTACTTACATGCTAATCTCACGTTAAATTTTATTGTCCATTTCTTGGAACATTACCTATATTAATTATTGTCTGTTCACACAGTATTGTCAGATAATTATTAAGTTTTACTTCATCTCGCCTTATAACTAGAAAGCGTTGCCTGGATACTAAGGAAGACTATTACTGTCCACTTTTCTTACTTAACTTTCTATTTCATTAAGCATTTTTTATAATTTTGCGAATCCAATTTTTCTATTTTTTGATGATTTTGGAATTGGATAAATTTTGGAAAAAGCAGATTTTAAAAAAAAAAAGCAGATTTAAAGTAGCGATTATATCAATGTTGAGAAAAATGAATATTTCATTTTACACCGAATAAGTAATCTAGAATTTTCCACGAAAGTGAAAACGAAACGAACAAGAAATAAGACAAAATTGACAAAGGTAACAAAAAGAGAGAAAGAAAGAAAGAAAAAAAAACACAAATGGTTAGAATATAGATCTTTCGTACTCTTTTACGTAATTAGCATTTACCTAGTTAGTATAATGATGAATCATTAATTTCATAAGAGCAAGATTTACCAACAATACACGTTTTATAGTCGTTTGACATCTCTTAGAAAAAGTCTAAGTGATTATTTTAAGGCTCCTAGGTCTCATAATCAACAAATTTCTTTTGTATAAAGTATATTTCATTTAAAAAACTATGTCTTTTAGAGTGCTGATCAAAAAAGTGCTGGTGCAGTATTTCTTTTCATTTTAATTCATATCCCTAGAATTCAGTCAACATTATATTTATATTTATATTTATATTTATATTTATATTTATATAGCGTCTACATTGATTATGGTTTATTTAGGTAACAATAGGGTATTTGTTATTTTTCTAATTCTAATAATTCCTATATGAGGTATTCACAAAAAAAAAAAAAAAAAAAAAAAAAAAAAAAAAAAAAAAAAAAAAAAAAAAAAAATATATATATATATATATATGTCATCTAATTGTAAACACACGCCTGATTAGTAATTCTTTTAAAATCATTACATGTATTATATCATAAAAGTATGCAATTTTTTTACATTATTATAAAATACTTTTTCGAACCTAATTTTAGGCTAATATTTCTTTAAGTTTTTTACTCCACATGACAGTGATTCTTAAAAATATTTTTTATATTATATTCAGTACACGTTTTATATCATATGACTTTACAATTATAATGTAGCTAAGTATTGATTTTGTATTAATAGTATTATATATTGATAATTTTTTTCTTTACAGCATGATATTTTTGATCTTATATATTTTAAATACCTTTTACAGTTAAAAATGGAAAGTTTACGAGCTATGATGTTTAGTGATATTGCCGATAGTCTATTGTCGTTTTAGTGTAAATTAATATAAAGAAATATTGATATTAGTATTACGATTTAATTAATATAATTATTATTTTAGAGAAATTATTGATAAACGTAATCAATTTCTTTCTATATTACATAATCCAGATTGAATATTTTTCAGCACATAAGTTATCAATATAAACATTCATATCCAAGTATCTAGTTGATTCATTGATTTTCATTAGTTATTTGTATTATTTTATTATTTTCGAATGTATTTCGTTTGAATGTATTGAATGTAATGATTTGCTACTTAATGCAACGTATATTTTTGTATAATATTTATTTTTAATACGCACAATAAGAAAATGAATTAAAATTTGATTTAGTTTTAATAATTAAAAAAATTTCTTTGTACTATAGGTGAAAGAAAGCTTTGAAAAATTAATGTTTTTCTAAAACTATTGTATCATTTCATCATAAGCAATTTAATTAATTTTTAAACGTTTTCAATAATCATTCTCTTCCGACTATCCGCTTGCTATGCTAATATGTGCATTTAATGCAATAAAAACTGCTTGATAACTTTTGCAAACTATGATTTCTAAGCACTCCAGTGTGAATTCTTGGTTAAGTTAGAAGAGAAGGTAAATATCCCGAAACGATCGCTTAAAAAGGATCAAAATAACCACTTAGTGGCATTATTATTGGTTGTAAATGTTGTATACCGTTAAACTCCAGAGCATACGAAAATCTTCTTATTCGCATCTTATGCGCGATTTTATATATTCAAAGACTTGGGCATTTATTTGCACAACTACGCACACGCGTCCATTAATGCATACGCGTATCCTTATATACACGCACAAGCACTCGTACGCATATATTATTGAATACGTGGTATTATTTATAGTGATAATTATTTTTCATGGTACGAAAAGTATAATTCTCTAAACATACGGATACAGTAATGCCAGAGACGGCTATTTACGGATCTTTTGCTATCTAACTCAATATGATGATACTAATTTGCGAGTGCTTTCCTTTTCCCAGGAATACACATGCATACAGAAACATGTAGAAAGTCGTGTATCTATGATTTCGAGAAATATAATCTTAGCTACATTTGTTCTAACTATAAAAATGTTTGTACAAGAAGATATTTTAATAGAAATAATAGACATAAGAAAAGTCATTGAAACGATCGAGTGCAAAAATGCTTATTCAAGATATTGATCTACGATTTATGCATATTTCTTTTAATATTGCGAAAATTTATTTTCATCACATGAAATCACTACATGTTTCTGAATCTAGATCATTCATTTATTATATGTTTCCATTTATTTCATATTATAGCCTAAGCAGCTTTGCTTATCTCGCGATACACTGAACAAAATTATACTAAATCTTTAATTATCGCACTTAACATTCTCTCAATATATTGCACTTCTAATAAATCACAATGAAACTTGATTAATTGCAATTTTGCCTTTCGTGTGTCTAATGATTTTTTTCTTCTTCTTTGCAATTTTTTTTTTTTTTTTTTTTTTTTTTTTTTTTTTTTTTAAATGAATTAATTATTATGTGTATATTACCTCTGAGGCTCTAGTGACAGCGAAGAAATTCTCTTATCTCAACGGACGTCGAGAAAATTTATGCGCCATCTTTGTCAAGCGTTTTTCATCAAATTCTATCTATGAAAATTGAAAATTTGCAATTCCTAGCTGAACTTTGCTGTAACATTGCCGTCTGCTCCGCGTCTTATAAAAAATACTTCAGATCGACGGTAGTAAAATATCGACTATTGAAAGCTGCATTATTTTACTACATTCATTGTCTAAGAGTTTTGTCGCTTATCGGAAACTATTTTGGTTTTTTTCCTGATGGCTTACAGAATGCTAACCATACTCTTTTTCCGAAAATTCTTCAATTTCTTTGAGGATCCACGACACGTATTTCGGCACGTATGCATAAACACCAGGTAATCTTGGATGAGCACACTTTATCCCCCAACTGACGATCCCACCAACGAACCATCGATCTTTATCGTTTTTATCTTGACAGAGTAAAGGACCACCCGAATCTCCCTGTGACATAAATGTGGCCAGAAAATAGATATCATTACTAGATGGAGGAGAATTAAAATAAATTGAATAGATTTAGGATTAGCTAGCTTAAAACTAATGCTTTTCGTACGCACGTACACACACACAGGGACACACACACACACACACACACACACAAACAAACAAAAATATTTCTTACTAATACTTAATAATAAATTGAATACATAGAATAAATAATATTTTTTTCATATATACAAGAGTATATAATGAAAAATGTTTATTATAAATATAAAATAAATGCAATTAATTATACGAAAACGCACATACATACTTATAAAATTTATATATATATATATATATATATATATATATATATTATAAACTGTATGAAGTTACTATTCTACAGAGAATGAATATTTGTTTATTTCAATTGCAATCTAAATTTGTTCGATCAATATAATTTTTACGCGCAATGTAAGCAAAATAACTTTTAGAATATTGCTTGAAATTATTGCTCGTTACATATCTATCATTTATGAAAAACAGAAACGATAACAAAACAAAACAAAACAAAACAAAACAAAAAAAGCAGCACACATAATAAAAAGAACATTGAATTACATGAAATTAGATCGACTCTAATGATTCTTGCGACGAGTGGATTAATCAATGGAGACACTAAAATATTTGATAGTACACGAACCTGACAGGCATCTTTACCGCCTTCGGGATATCCGGCGCAGATCATCCCGTCGGTAACATTCAGCTCTTTGTGAAGTAGCCATGAGTTGCAAACTTCTCTGCCAAGAATTGGCACGCTGACTTCGTTCACTGCTGGTTCGTACTCCGACGCTGCGAATAAATAATGGAATGCGATACATAGTGATATCGATGTGCTTATTTCCTTTCTTTCTCGATTGAGATATAAGAAAACGTACTTTCGGTATCCTCCTTTTTACCCCAACCAATAACCGTGCAGACTGTTCCCGGTGCCAAATCGATATTAGCCGTCGGCAAGCAAACAGGTCGCAAATGCTCGTGAAATTCCACTCGGCGTTCCAGCTGTAAGGACGCGAACGTTAAGGTTTAATAAAAAAAATAATGATAAAAATAAAAAAAGAACACACAAATATAATAATAGAATGAAATTATCATATTGTATTAAACTTATTCTTCTTTTATTTTTAATCAACTTTCCTTATTTTATCAAATTTTAAAGATTAACATGAACATGAAGCGCTCGACATTATGTAAGAAAACACTTGGTAGAGAATTATCGCGCCAAAGTAAAAAATTAATAGCTGCTCATTGATTGTTGACATTAGGCTGGAAATGCTTCATTCGAGCGCTAATTTGCCTCGCTATATTAATTGGCTTTTTATTTCGCATTCGTATTTCGATTGAAAAGAAATGATTGGATACCTGAAAGAGAGCGACATCGTTATCGTGAGCGATTTCGAGATTGTAATTAGGATGGGGGACGACTCTCTTGACTTTGAGTTTTTTGCCAAGGTAGGTATGGGCGTGCCTCCTTGTAATGCCCAATTGTATCGTCCATCCCGAGACCTCCGAATTACTAAGGCTTTACAAATTATAATTTCGACAACTACAAGGATTTTCACTTTTGTATAATCGCACGGCTGACGATTATAAATCAAGTAATTCTCGTGCACAAGCGCTAATAACATTTTAATGTTACATCTTAACCAGACCGTCGCTAACCTCCTCATACGCTCACATACATCACAATGCGGTTCCATCGACGTCAATAAGGCAGAAAATGAATAATTATAGCGGAAGCTCGCTGATAATAAATATATTATAAACAAGAAAAGCATAATCAATTGTATAGAAATATTTACAATTGCTTATACTTCATAAACTGAATAACTTTATAACCGACATTTAGTAGCTTCGTGCAACACAATAATTACATTATCATTATTCTTCTTTTTTCTTTTTTTTTAATACATATGAGCATGCTGCTAACGCTTTTGTAAATAAATATAGGGATTTTTTTTTTTTTTTAATGTTAGTGCTTTTACGTTGTGAATGTGAGCTTTAGCGTTTCAACAATTTCAATCTAATTACATTTTTCCTAGATATTAAAGTAATTTCTTCGTAACTAATCAAGTAATTATTTCTAAATATCGCGTAATGAAATTGTTATATACTATTAGATAAAAATTTTGCTCGTCGAATAAACTTTTGTATTTCAAATGACGGTAAATATCAATATAGTAGAGGCCATATATAAATTAAAGAGAAAGCGATGCGTGCAAAAGGACTAGGCGTTTATCTTATGAACATATTATATAATGTAGCCCAATACACTTATAAGTCAATAAGAATTTTGTTGAAAAATCAAAACCAAAAAAAAAAAAAAAACAAAAAATAAAATCATAAGTTATGGAAAGATTTCGCAAGAGTGATTTCTTCAATTTGCTTACCGTCTGAAAGTTAAGCTCGCACGTGCTTGACGGCACCACTACATGCCATACATTGCACACGTATATGGACGCACGATCGACGTAATATCATTGGGTGAGTGTATGATTTTGAGGAACCCAGGCTTTTACTAGCCCAAGTACGAGTGGGATGTCGTGGTGGGATGGGGGAGTGGGATGGGATAGGGAATAATGGATAAGCGATTGGAAGGTTCGCGGCTTTAAAAAGTGAAAGAGTGACGGAAGCATAAGCAAGGAAAAACGATAAGCTTATCCATTACCAATAAACACTAGCGATAAACAAAAGCAAAGCGAACGTGGCGAGGATCGAGGTCCTTCCCCTTTTCGGCAGAACGCTCCACTTACTTGCCAACGCAATGGGAGGCCGTGAGGATCCACTGGTCCGCGATGAGAACGCCGGCGCAGTAAAAAACCTGCTCCGGGCCACCGAGTAGAGCGGCGAGGAAGGGCCAATCACCGGGTGCCGACTCCACCCCGCCGACGATCCTCTTGCGCGCTTTGGAGTTGCCGAATACGCGAGGTCTGCGCCCGCACTCTGCCACGTTCAAAGGGATATCGTTATTACTATGGTGTCGTCGATGAAGCCCCCTCTTCCCCCATTCCTCTGACCGCCATACTATTGCCACAAACCACTTTGTGTATGTGTGTGTGTGTGGGGGGGGGGAGGTTGACAATTAAAGCGGGCCTTGTAATCCCGTCCCCGTCCCCGTCCCCGTCCCTTGGTCAAGCGCGACCAACTCCCTGGCTTTTCCCGAGCTCGTGAATTTTTAAAGGCCTTTCTTAGTGGCCGGCTGCTAATGAAATATGGTGCCACTGTAAAATAGCCCTACGAGTTTGCTTTGTTCATCTCGGCATTGAATCTAACGTCATCGTAATTTTAAGCGTTACGCTGACAATACGCGACCGGCTTCTTAAGTTGGATCGTTCGTTAAAAAAATGAGAACAACAGTGTGAAGTCGCGCAACGGATCGTTCTTGTAGTTCCTCGGTAACGATTACTTTTTCCTTTTTTTTTTATTCAAAGTGATAAAACAATGATGAAAGAGAGAGAGAGAGAGAGAGAGAGAGAGAGAGAGAGAGAGAGCTAGATAGAGATACAGAAAGATAAGGAGACGCAATTGGCATCCGAGTGAATCGATCGTGCGATAAGCCATCGGGACATTAACGCCCGTTCGAAGAATGAATGCTCTCTCGAATATTGGGGAAGAACAGAAAGAAAGTAAGAAAAAATAATAATAATAATAATAATAAGGAATTGTCGATGTAATTATCGTCGTCGTTGCTATTAATATCGAGGGCGGAATATTTAATAGTTGAGAATAGTATCTTTCTTTTTTTTTGCCAGGTGATTATCGAGACACGAATAATCTTAGCGTGTCATAAAAACTTGACCGCGCGTGTAATAAAATCGTCTTACTAACCATATCCCGTGCAGATTAAATCAATAGTAGAATAATCCTTTTGATCGATGCATCGTTGGGATTCTTGAAGAAAGTTTCCCTCATTCGTTTGAGCCAACCGCCATCGTTGCGAGGTTTCTAACACCGGCCGAACTATCGTTACGTTACTCTCCGACATCAGCAAGTTCGAGGAATTCACAGCTCTGCAGTTGGAAAGGTATCGCGCAAACATTACATTAATGCTTAAAATGAATTGACAGGAGTTTATGCAAAGAGATAGAGAGATAGGTAGAGATGGGTAGAGAGATAGGTAGAGATAGGTAGAGAGAGAGTGAGTGAGTGAGTGAGAGAGAGTGAGAGAGAGAGAGAGAGAGAGAGAGAGAGATATGTTGATAGAAAGAATGAAAGAAATGTTAAAATATAGACTTACTCGTAACCAAGGAGCGAGCAAATATTTTTGGCCGTTGATGGTGTCCAGTGGGCAATACAAGCGGGCATGAATTTTCCTTCCTTAGCGTGGTACACTTCTAAACGACCTCGTCCTACGTCGCCGTTTCTCTCGCTCAATCGAACTACGCTTTCAAATAATATTGCGCATTAGATCAAAATTTTGTCAGCTCGATTATACGCAGCGGTACACGTTTATACGCCACCACCTTCACTTTCACCCACTTTCACGTATCTTTCACAATCGAGCCATCATCTTTTATTTATACGTACGTAACCGCGTTGTATAAACACTCTATGCCTTTTTTTTATTTTGTTTTTTGTCTTGAAAAATTGTTGTCATGCGTTTTAGTCGAACGGAAGAGATGCGAACGAACAGGCGTCAATTCAAACACGTTGCCAATAAGTTTAATTGTACAAACGACCATTAGCCAGTACGCGAATGTAAAAAAGTACGTATTATTGTTTAGCGCAATGTAACAAGTTGCAATTTTGCTCTTGTGAATTCATTGCTAGGAACATTGTTGCAAGAAATTAAGAAGAAGAAGAGGAAAAATCAACAGCCACAAAAGAAACAAAAGATTTTTTAATTCATGCATTTCTGCACTTCTCACGTTAAGCCATAATCTTTGAATAGTCACGCTAATCAATAATCTTTGCTATATTGTTTACGTTTGCATCGGAGTTTTATTGTCACGAATGTCATTGGTGCACTGGAAGGAAGCCTTAAACGGCTTATTATAGGCGAATCGCTTCAATCCGTCAATCGATTTGTTTCAATAAACTTGAAGTGCAACTTTAGGTATCTTTCAACCTCCACATCTCCAAATCACGCGATTTTTCATTACACAATGATCGTTAAATTGCATGCCCCGAGATTGAAGACATCAGATTCGTTAATGAATAGAGATATATATATATATATATATAGAGAGAGAGAGAGAGATATAGAGAGAGAGATATAGAGAGAGATAGAGAGAGATAGAGAGAGATAGAGAGAGATAGAGAGAGAGATGGAGAGAGAGAGATGGAGAGAGAGAGAGAGAGATGGAGAATAATGCGAGTCGGATCACGCGGTGGCTGATCGATCCAAGACTCTAGCTACTCACGGCAGTTACGCTCGTCTTGGGCCCAGGGACAGTCGGTGAATCCGTCGCATACGTGCGAGGCGGACATGCACCTGCGCTCGCCGCAATGCAGCGATGCCTGGGCGAGGACGTTCTTGAGGAGGACGCTGTTGTCGATGCCGCCCTTGGAGCTGATCGCGGCGAGACCCGCGCGCTCCTTGTCGCTGCACTCGCCGCATCCGATCTCGTCCGTGTGGTCCTCGCAGTCGACGTGTCCGTCGCAGCGCCAGTCCAGGGGTATGCAGCGCTTCTCGTCGCATTGGAAGCCGCTTAGACAGACTGAGAAATAGTGATTAACCATGGCACCGAAGGGGGCCATCTTATATCGATTCGCCAACGGCGCGATATTACTTATCCGACGTACGTACAAGTAAGGTAGCCATGTTTGTAACCTACGACCCGACAACCTCTCGTGACAATGCCACCGAACGATAAGGATGGACTGGAAATTCGAGCCACCAAGCATATCGCGGGATTTGCCGCCGACGTGGTAGTCTTGGACGAAGACTCGCCACCAAGTCTAAATAATTTGTCCATCCCGCGCGACTCTTCTTGACGTCCTCGGCTTGAGGAGACGATTAACTTTATCTAATCGTCAGCGCTTTGGTAATTTCATCCTTATTTACGCACCATTAATTCGCGAGTGGCACGCATCCTCGCGATTAACGATAATCGATTAATAATTAATAAGATGTGTTTAACCTGTAGTTTTTTTAGTTGGAGGTAATCTTAAATATTATAAGGTGCCGGCCAGTGATATCGAGGCTGGTCTTTTTGATATTTTCGCCAATTAAATGACTACTTGGTTGCCCGGGACGTTAATTGCTCATGATTTTGTGACTACGTTAAGTACCGTGATTGGATGACTGGGACGCCTTACTAATGCATTGATTATAAAAGTTTAATAAATCGTGATATGCAATTACTCAACGCCCTGCCTCTACGTTCACAATCGTGATTTTGCACGTGACGCCCATCCGCTCTCGCTCTCTCTCTCTCTCTCTCTCTCTCGCTTTAATGGTCAGTTCGAGTTGAGAGACTTGGCATATAAAATTCACTAGAGCCTCTAAGTATTGCCTATCGTAGTCGATAAAGGCGAGCTTTTATCTTCAATTCGCATATACAGAAAAAAAGAAAAAGATAAAAAAAAAGTAAAGTAAAAAAATAAAACAATATATATATATATATATATATATATATATATATATATATATATGTAAGTATGTATAATATCGTACTCGTGTGCCTTCGACCCCTCGTTATATGTTTCATGAGTGAAATACTCCGCTACGTCTCGTTTCTCTCGCTTGAAATATTTCCCCGCGACGTGATTTTCACATAAGTGCATTATACGAGCTAAGGCGCGTCACAGTGCACTTGTGTACCAAACGCTACCAAACTTCACTTTAAATAAGGGAGAGAGACTGAAATAACGGCCAAATGTTCGACGTTATTAAACGAACGTATTCTCCGACAAAGCAATTTAAAGTTACGTTTTTGACAATAGTTGTCGATTCATCGGAATAATTACGTATACGCGAATGCTAAAAAAAAATGTAAGCGACGAGTCCGTAAGCAATTTGCAAAATGCATTTGCAGATTAAGTAATTTTTCTAATTCAATCGTTATGTACCGCTTTCGTTTGTGCGCAATTTCATTCAATCGGCAATAGAGTTTATTATATGACAAATACAAGAAAAAAAGAAAAAAAGAAAAAAAGAAAAAAAAAATCACCAGCCCAGTGCATTGTTGTAATTTACAACGAAGCATTAATTTACGCATACGATTCGACTAAAAATCATGTCACATTGCGTGTCGTCTCGTTACCACCAAAGCGTCTCCTCGCCTTTTGTACCTATAAATCTTAACGGGGAATGAAGAAA